ACGGGATATAGCAGGATAACGGGATAACGGGAGAGCAGGATAACAAGATAGCGGGATAACGGGAACGGGATAATAGGATAGCGGGAGAGCGGGATTGGGATAACAGGATAGCGGGATAGCTGGATCGGGAGAGCGGGATAGCAGGATAACGGGAGAGCAGTGCCGCGGTGAGAACAATGGGAGAACAATGGGAGAACAATGGGAAAACAATGGGATAACAATGGGATAACAATGGGATAACGGGATAACAATGGGATAACGACGGGATAACGGGATAATGGGATAGTGGGATAGCGGGATAACGGGATAGCGGGAATGGGATAATGGGATATTGGGATACCGGGAATGGGAAAGGGAGCGGGACAACAGGATACCGGGATCGGGATATCGGGATCGGGACAACGGGGACCGGGATAGTGGGATAACAGGAACGGGATAGTGGGATAACGGGAACGGGATAGCGGGATAACGGGATAACGGGATTGGGATAGCGGGATAACGGGAACGGGATAACGGGGACCGGGATAGCGGGAATGGGATAACGGGATAACGGGATAACGGGATAATGGGATATAGCGGGATAACGGGAGAGCGGGAGAGTGGGATATAACAGGATAACGAGATAACGGGAACGGGATAGCGGGATAGGGGGATAACAGGATAACGGGAGTGCGGGATATAGCGGGATAACGGGATAGCGGGATAACGGGATAATGGGAATGGGATAACGGGAGAGCGGGAATGGGATAACGGGAACGGGATAGCGGGACAACGGGATAGCGGGGACCGGGATAGGGAATGGGATACCGGGATCGGGATACCGGGATACTGGGAATGGGAAAGGGAGCAGGATACCGGGAACGGGATACTGGGATAGTGGGATAACGGGATCGGGAACGGGATACTGGGATAGCGGGAACGGGATAGCGGGAACGGGATAATGGGATAGCGGGAACGGGATAGTAGGAATGGGATCGGGATATCAGGATACCGGGATAGTGGGGACCGGGATAGCGGGAACAGGATCGGGACAGGGAACAGGACAACGGGGAACGGGATCGGGATGGGGAACGGGAACGGGATACCGGGGTCGGGACAGGGAATGGGACCGGGATCGGGATTCGGAATGGGATTGGGACCGGGATTGGGAATGGGAACGGGATCGGGACCGGGAATGGGATTGGGACCGGGATCGGGAC